ACTAATCAGATTATTGAGACAGTCTAGGTGAGAGGTGACTCAGTCCTGTGAGTGAATGGAGGCCATGAGCCAATGTAGGTCACTGCTACTGTTGCACAGCCCCAAGAGGCTTGCGGCACAAACCCAAAATATCACATACAGCCCAACATAGTCTAAGTTCACAGACATAAAGCTAGCAGGGACCTCTGAGGATTTTTAAGTCCAAACTCTTTCATTTTACAGAGGAGGAAACTGAGGTCCAGGGAGGTAAAGTTGGTTGCCCAAAATCACACTGGTAGTCAGTAGCAGAGCCGTGATTTGAGCCCAGGTCCTGGCTCCAAATCTGGTATTCTTTCCCCTGGACTGCACCACCCCACTACCTTAGCCAACCTTGACATTTTTCAGGCCCATCAAGAAAAAGTGACTTGCCCAGGTGTCTAAAGCAGGGTTTGAACTCAGGTCTTCTTCCTGACTCCAAGTCTAGCACTGTGTCCACTGCACCCCTATAAAACCCCAGAATCTAAGTGTCTGGCCCATAGTAGGCACTTAACGAGTGCTGATTTTTAGTTTGATACAGTACACGCTGAACTCTTAGACTCACAGACTTTAGAGCTAGAAATAACTCATGGAATCGTAGCTCAAAAGGTCGATGTTTCTATAAAGATCATCATATGCAGTGCTTTAATTTCATCGATGAAGAAACCCAAGCCCCGCCCTGCCTCGCAGTCACATAATGGCAGCACTTGGGCTTGAAGCCCTTTCTCTTGAACACTCGCCACCCACTTGGAAAGTCTCTCTTTGCTTGATATCTGTGACATGGCCTTGGTCCAGTTCTCCTCCTGCCTACCTGTCTGGCCACTTGTCTTTGGTTCTTTCTTGATGTCCCCTCCCACGGTGACTCCACGCCCCTCTCATGTCTTCAGTTTTTGCTTCCCTCCTGCTGGCTTCCCTGTATGTATTCATGGCATCATCATTCTGCTAGTCACCCGAGCTCACTGCCAGCCCTTCCCCAGTAGAATGGATGCTCCTTGAGGAAGGGACTGTTGCATTTTTGTATTCTGATCTCTAGTGCACAGCTTGGTGCCTAACACATAAGTTTTTGTTGATCGAGTCAGCATAACTCTACCTCACCCCCTCCCCTATACCCAGGGAATCACCGAGGCCTGGCCTGTGTACCTTTAAAAAATGACTCTCTGGGCAGCTAGGTGGCACAATGGATAGAGCACTGACCCTGAAGTCGGGAGGACTGAGTTCAAATCCGGCCTCAGACACTTGGCACTTCCTAGCTGTATGACCCTGGGCAAGTCACTTAACCCTGATTGCCTCACAAGAAAAAAAAGAAAATGACTCTCTTTGCATCAGGCCCCTCCCCTCCACTCTTGTTACTGCCACCATAACTCAGGCCCTTGTTTTTTCCAGACCTTCAGTCTCTCTGTGCTTTAGTCCAACCTGTGCTGCCATATTAATCTTCCTATTACACATGTCTGATCATAGATCATAGATTTAGAGCAAGAAGGGACCTCAGAAGTCTTCAAGTCCAACTCCATCATTTTACAGATGGGGAAACTGAGGCTCAGAAAGGTTGAGCCACCTGTCCAGGATCACACAGCCGATGAGAATCAGAGGAGGGATTTGAAGCCAGCTTATCCACCAAAGACACTCAGTCATGACCCATTGCCTCTCAATAGCTTAAGTCTAACTTAACTTGACATTCAAAGACCTCCACAATCTGGACCTAACTTGACCTTTCTGGCCTTATTTTATATCGTGTCCCTTTCAGTCCTCCAAGGGCTATTCTCTGTTCCCCAAACCCATCCAGCAGTTTTCATCTTTCACGCCTTTATCACGAAAGTCTTCTGCAATTGAAATTGCTCTCAGTCCTGACCCCCTTGCCCAATCCAGTGCCCTCTTACCAGCCTTCATCCTCCTTGACTTTTTGGTAATAGTATATGCTTGTCCGCTCCCTCTTCCATTACCTCGCTTCCCTTGATCTCGGTTTCACTATTCTCTACTGGTTTTCCTCCTACCTCTCTGTCTGATGCTTCCTCTGTCTCTTTTCTAGTTCCCCTTCCTCCACCCAACCTCTAAGTATAGTCACCCACCAAGGCTCTGTCTCAACACTCTTCATTTCTTTCTTGGCTAACTTCCCAACTTCCTTGTTTCTCTTAATGGCGCTTTCATTCTGCCCATCAAGATCGCCAAATCATTCTCGACTCTCTCCCCCCATCCCTCCCTGTGTCTGCTGGGCTGCTTCCTGAGTCTCTCCCATTGTAGCTTTCCATGGTTGGGAGTAACAGAGAAAAGCTGAATGTGTGTGCACTAGCTGTCGGTGCCCAGGCTGAATCATTTTATTCCAACAATGACTGTGCTGATTTGTAAAGTTTACCTTTTTGGTAACATCTGAACAAGGTGATGCTATGAGAAGAGCGCTAGATTGAGAGCCGGGGTCCTGACTTCCATCCCTTCCTATATGACTTTGGACAAGTCACGATGTTCCTGAGCCTCAGTTTTCTTATCTGTAAAAGAAAAGAGTTAGATTAAATTTTCCCCAAGGTCATTTCTAGATATAATCTGTGACCCTAAACTGCCAAGCAGAAGTGAGGCTGCTTGCTGTGCGAAACATAGCTCAGATTCCAACATCTCCTTGAAATACAGGACTTTGTGTTCAGAAGGTCACATTCCTCTCTTCTCCCATCTCCGTTATGCTTTCAGGAGTCACTTTGTCCTTACCCTTCTCCAAACATTGTACAAGCTTAGCAGTCTAAATGTCCTGTCATTCTTTACTCATAATCTGTTTGGTGTAATCCTACATATGCTTAATCCAGGCTCCAGGGAGTAAGCTCCTCTGTCAGCCTAGTAATGGTCTTATTCTACTTTTTTGTCAGTTCATCTCTCTGTTACTCTGCCCTGTTCCCTGCTATTTTGGCATTCCTTAGGCCCTCTGGAACATGGCCAATCTCTCTCCTGTTGATGTGTAGTGAATTCAGCTGAGTTACCATGCCAAGGAACCATTCTGTCTCCTGTATTTCTTCAGATAAAATATTGGGAGAAAAATAAAGAAACTAGACATTTCTAAAGATAAGTGAAAACTAGCAAGGCAATTTCTTTGTTCAGTTATGTCTGACTTTGTGATCCCATTTGGATTTTGTTGGCGAAGGTACTAGAGTGGTTTGCCATTTCCTTCTCTAGCTCATTTTACAGATGAGAAAACTGAGGCAAACAGGGTGAAGTGACTTGCCCAGGACATCCAGCTAGTAAGTGTCTGAGGTTGGATTTGAACTCGGGTCTTCCTGACTCCCTGCTCTCTACACACTATGGCACCACCTAGATGCCCTAAATTCTATCAAAAGGGCCCAGTTAGAAGAGAGGATTCTGGGAAGATGGCAAAGTAGGTCAGAAAATTCCAAACTTTCCACACTTCCCCTACAAACAAGACAAAACAATGCCTCAGAGTGAAGGTAGAGCAGTAAAAACAAGGGTTGGGGCAGAACAGTGGTCCTCCTAGGACAATAGGAAGAAAAATCCCAGGACTGAGGTCTGGCCCCTGGGAAGTATAAACATGTCCAGGCTAGTTCACTGAAACAGCAAACTGCGAGCCCTGAGGCTGGCTGGGTTAGGAAGTAACCCCAGTCACAGGAAATTTCACCTCCCAGACAGTTATCGGGAGTTGGGCATCTGAGGGACAAGGAACACCAGTCTCAGCTATGCTGCAGTGGGGCAGGGGTGCTGCTGGCTGTGGCCACTTATGGAAAGGCAGAGTTTTTGGTTCTGGTTCCAGGACACAGGGGAGAACTGAAGGAAGATCTGAGGCCAGAGACACCATTCCCCATACTCCAGGACTAGAGGTGATCACAATAACAAACTGCTAGAAAAAAAATTTTTTTTTTTAAACGAGCAAGCAAAGGAGAAAGAACCTGATCATAGAAAATGACTATGGGAATAGAGAAGACCAGGATTCATCTTCAGAGGAGGATTTTGAAGCAAAAAGAGACTCTCCTACCCCAAAGAGTAACATCAAATGGTCACTTGTCGAAAAAAGAATTCATAGGAGAACTTTAAAAAGACTTTAAAAATCAAATGAGAGGGATTGAGGAAAATTTTTTTTAAAGAAATAACTATCCAATATCAACAAGATTATGAAAAGAAAGTTAACCAACTAGAAAAGGAGATCCAGAATCTTAAGGAAGAAAATATCTGCTTGAAAATTAGAATTGAGCCAGGGAAAGCCAGCGAAGTTATAAGAAACCAAGACACAATAAAACAAAATATAAAGAATGAAAAAACAGAAGAGAAAGTGAAACATCTTACAATAAAAGCAACTGATCTGGAGAACAGAACAAGAGAAAAAAACATAAGAATAATCAGACTACCTGAAAGTTAAATCAAAAAAAGAATCTTCATTCAATAATACAAGAAATAATTTTTAAAAATTGTCCTAAAGCGTTAGAATAAGAGAGAAAAGTAAAAGTAGAAAAAAATCCACCAATCACCACTTGAAAGCGATCCTATGAGGAAAACCCACAGGAATAGCATAGCTATATTCTGAAACCCCCAGTTCAAGGAGAGAATATTACAAGCAACAAGAAAAAAAAATTCAAATATGGCAGAGCCACAATTAGAATCACTTAAGACCTAGCAGTGGCAACACCAAAAGATTGTATGTAGGTCTAGGAATACTATATATTGAAGAGTAAAAGAATTGGAGTTAGTCAAAAATATCATACCCTGCAAAGTTAAGCGCAATCCTGAATGGAAAAAAAATGGAAATTCAATGAATTGCCAGGTTTTCAGGATTTTGTTGCAAAAAGACCTGAAAGCAATACAAAAGTTCATATATAATATCTAAGAGAAATATAAGTTAAACATCAAGTTAATCACAAGGGCCTCAATAAGGACAGACTATTTTCTTTTTATATGAGAAAATGGAAACTGTATGTTTAAGATTGTTATTAGTAATTGGGTAGTTTGAAAGAAAGATTGGGGTAGAGTTGAATTGATGCAATACTAAAAAGTAAATCATTTAGGAAAAGGTAAAAAGAGTAATTATCTTATACAAATGAGGTGTGAGAGGAAGAACTGACACAGGAGAATTAGATGGGAGAAGAGGGCTGGCAATCCTGGAACCCTACCCTCATTGGGAATGGGTTAAAGAGGGAACAATACATATATATACACACAGATATATACATATATATATACACATATATCTAAACTCAGGGGGAAAAAAGGCATAGGGGAGGAAGTGGGGAGAGGATAAGGGAGGGACTTCAGAATGGGGGGAAGATGATAAGGGAGGGAGGGAGGTTAGGTAATAGGAGGGCAAGGTAATGGGTAGAAATAAAATAGTCAGGATGGTGTAACCGAAAGGATTACGGACTATGCAGTACTTTCACTTTAGGTTCGAATCTCAAGATGTAATAACATGTACTCAGTATAAACTTAACAATCACATTTATTTTACAATGATTAATAATGATTAAGGCAACACAAGCATATAAAGATAAGAATAACATTCAATGCAATAAGTAATAATCAAAATCAAGAAAAGGGGGAATAAGAAAAGAAAGGGATACACATGTTCCAGAAGGCCTAAGGCGAGCTCAAATACCTCCCAGACTGGGGAGACTGGAGATGAGCAAGAGGTCTGATGGGGAGGCCAAAAGAGCAGCCTCCTGCTCCTACTCAACAAGGGCCTTGAACGCAGTCCGCCCTTGACAGCAACAACAGAGATTCAGTGTCCCTATCTCTGACATCAAAGTACTCCAAAAAATCCACTTTCAGATGCCGCTTTTATATCTGTGTAAACCAGGGAAAAACAATGTTAATATTTTGTTTTGTGTATGTATCCTTGGTGAGCGCTCAGGTCCAGGACACACACACATTTTAACAAAGGTTGGACCTTGGTCAGAGCCCCAAATATCTGCTTTTTGTGTAAATCTCCAAGGAGGGATCAAGTCCTTGAACAGTTACACATTTCTCTCAAGAAAAATGTTCCTTTTAGATAAGAATTGCTTTCCCGGGTACTTAATGTTCCATCTCCATGGTACCCTCAGCCATGCATGTTAACTCCAGTTCACATTCTTTATGTCAAGTCATGAGGCGGTTTCACGAGGGGCCTGGGGAGGATCTCTCCTCAGTTTCCCTCACAGACGGATAGGAAATAAGAGATACACACAAACAAAAAAAAAAAATCGGGAGTTGAATTTATTAGGGGAAAAAAAGCAGGGGTGGTAATCATGATCTCAGACAAAGTTAAAGCTAAAATAGATTTAATTAAAAGAGAAATATGGGGAAACTACACTATATGTCAGCCATATTAATATTGTTTTAGACTATTTAAAATAACTAGACAGTATAAGGTTAGAATATTGTTGTGGTATAGGAAAAAATGAGTTAGTGGACTTAGAAAAATATGGAAAGACTTGGACCTGTGAAGGAAGATGTTATCCACCCTCAGAGAAACAGAGGACAAATTAGTATAGTATGGTATATATATATATATATATATTCAGTATATCTTACATAGATGCATATGAATATATGTCTATATATGATTATGATTATAGATATCCAAGTATACATATGTGTATGTAAGTATATGTATGTATTATATATATATATATACACATATGCTTGTGTGTATATATGTATGTGTGTATGTGTATGTTTGTGAACAACTCTTTAATTATGAACATTTCAGCTGTGGACGCTTAGAAAAGGAAGTGCCAGTATGGCTTAATCAAGAATGAGTCAAACCAGTCCAACTTTGTTTCCTTTTTTGGACAGGGTTACTAGCCTGGTAGAGCGAGAATCCAAAAAGACTTCAACAAGCTACATCTAGGGGTCAAACATTTAACAGAGATCAATATAAAGTCATACACTCAGGTAAAAAAGAAAAGTGTACTTTTGTGCACAGCTGCCCAAGTACAAATACATGAGGATGGATGCATGGCTAGGTAGCAGTCTAAATGAAAATGATCTGGGGATTTCAGTAGACCGATTGTAAATGCTCAGACTCATCTTGGTCAACCTTGAGAGTCATATGATGTGGTACTCTCCCAATCCTCTGCCCTGTGCAGACCACCTAGAGAGCACTGTATTCAGTTCTGGTGCCACATACTAGGAAGGACAGTGATAATGTGGAACGTGTTCAGAGGAGGATGACTGGGATGATGATGGGGGTCAGGACCATACCGTATAAAGACTGGTTGAAAAAAATGCTGTCTGTCTGGTCAGGAGAAGACTTGAGAGATGGGGAGATATGGTAGCGAGTTATCTCTAAGATTCCGAAAGGCTGAGATGAGGAAGAGGGAGCCAACCCATTGTGATTGATTCCCCCCAAGTTGGAAAAAAGAAAGTTAGAGAAGCGTATTTTGTTCAGCTACTTCTATCCCAAAGTAGAATGAGCCGTCTTGAGATAGGATGGGTGCCATAGTTCACTGGAGAGAGAAATCAGCTGTGGAGCCAGAGGATGACCTCTGACCCCTCCCAGCAAGTGACTTCATTGCTCCCGGCTGCAGTTTCTTCATCTGTAAAATGAAGAGGTTGGTCTCAGTGGCTGCCAAGGACTCTTCTCCATCCCAGGAAGTGACCGATGGATGACCCCTTGTTGGAGATGGAGAGAGGGATTCCTGAACAGCTCTGCCTTGGCCTTGATGGTCACTGAGGTCCCTTCCAACTCTTGGAGTCTGTGGCTTTGATGACTTTTTAGCCATAATGTATATGTGTCCTCAGTTCTTCAGCCAGCCTGAACACCTCATTGAGCTCTGCTTTTGTCCTGTCCTCTCCCATTTCTTGGCCTTGTGCATGTTAGGAAGCATAGTGGACAGAGGGTGGATCTGGAGTCAGGAAGACCCGAGCTCAAATCTAGCTTTAGACACTGAACTAGCTGTGTGACCCTGGGTGAGTCATTTAACTGCTACCTGCCTCAGTTTTCTCATCTGTAAAATGGGGATAATAATAGCCCCTACCCTCCCAGGGTTGTTGGGAAGAGCAAATGAGCTGATATTTGTAAAGCACTTTACAAACTTTACAATGTTATATAGAAGGTCACTATTATCATCACGTTGTCCATTGTCACTAGAATGTACTGACCTCTGTAGCTATTGATGTCCTTCTCCACCTTCACTGCTCAGCTCATATTCCACTTGCTCTGGGAAGTGTTTCCTGATCCCTCAGCTAGAAAGAGGCCCTGCCTAGTCTACCCTCTTGAGCGATTCAGTCTAATTTCTTCTTAGCAAGCCATCCCCTTCTAACCTGTATTATAGTTACTTGGTTATTCAGAGAATCCCGAAAACTCTTAATGCAGTTTTACAGCTTTTAAAACTACCTAAAGTCTTCTGGATCACCCCATAGATTTCCTCGTATTCCCTGTGTCCAGCCCAGTGCCTTTCACCCATGAGGCATGTAGTGATTATTGAATTGAAATCCAGACCCTTCAAAGCCTGGCTCAAATGCTACCCTCCCCTTATAGACACATATGAATGCCCCTTTTCTGAATCCCATTACCCTTTGATTGTACCTCTCTCAGGCATCTTCATGCCTATTTAATATTATTTTAACTTATCTCCAATCCTCTCTCCCCTCTACTAGACTGTAAGTTCTGTGAGAACACAGCCCTTCTCATTCAACCTTAGATCAGGGGATCTTGCCATGGGATCCACAGTCCATGGATCGATTTCAGGGAGTCTATTAATTTGTTGTTGTTGGTTTAATATTTTGATAACCATATTTCAATAGAATTGCTTTCCTTTGTAATCTTATGTATTTTATTTTATGCATTTAAAAAGATGATTCTTAGAAGGTCCAGAGGCTTCACCAACCTTCCCAAGGGGTCCAGGACACCAGGTGGTGAAGAATCCCTGAGCTGCATAGATGGCTAGACAGACAGACAGAAGGATGGATGGATGGATGGAGAGATAGAGAGGTGGCTGAAAAGAGACAGACAGACAGGCCAACTGAGCATTTATTAAGCTCTTGCTGTGTGTCAGGCACGATGCTAAGTGTTGCAATTACAAATAAAAACAAGCAAACCAGATTCTGTCCTCAAGGACATAAGACAAGACTTAGAGAGGAGCTGAAAGCTGGTTGGGGAGGAGCAGAGAAAGGAGGTTTGGCAGCCATGGAGAAGGAGGAGGAGTCCCGACGTGACTGAATGAAGTCCATCTGGGCTTCTTTCTAAAACAGTGATCTCTAGGAGAGAAAGGAGAAGGGGCTTCAGACAAGAGGTTTCTCCAGGGCAATGCTGTGGCAAGTGAGGAGAAACAGGAATCAATTGATCAATCAATCACTGTTTTTTAAGTGCCTACTATATGCCAGGCACTGTGCTGAGCTAAGAGTCCAGAGAGGGAGCCCAGGTGCTTTATACCTTAGGGGGGAGGTGGGGGGGAGGGGAGGGACTAGACCCATGATTTCATTGGCAAAGGAAACTCATGGCGAGAAAGCTCTGTCTCTACAGCCTGACCCTCACTGCGTACCTTAGACCCTTGTGGAGCTGCCTGGCGATCTGGGAAAAGTGACTTTTCCTGGGTCCCGGGACGGCGTGTGTTAGAAGTGGATTCGAATCTGAGTCTCCCTCCCTCTGAGGCCCGTTGTCTCCCCTAAGCTCTGCTGCCTCCCCCATATAGGCCTTAATAAATGAGGCTGAATTTATCTAAAGTTGATGACAACTGCAGTAAGTCTAACCCACTTCCTGTGTGTTTCTTTTCTTCAGCTTTGAGGGAGATAAGAAGAACTTTCTTCATATCAAAGTGACCGACTCCCCAGAAGAGGATCTTTTCTCCCATTTCCGGCAGGCCACTCACTTCATGGGTAAGCATGTCGGGGGGGCCGCACAAGCAGAGAGGAGAAGTCATTCGGGGGCACGATTTGCTCATCATTCTGGTCTATAGCTGTGGTAGACGTTACCTCTGATGGACTGCATTCTATCCCAGATGTGGAGGGAAAAGCTGTGTCAGTGTAATAGAAGGCTGGAGACAGTGTCTGCTGGCATGCAGAAATCCCCAGGCATTGTCTGACTTGGTCCCCCAGGGAACCAGTCTCTCTCCTTGGTAGATAAACTCCTTTTTCCCATTCCTGGAAGAAGACAGATCCAGGAGCCTCTTCAGTGGAGCGAGACCCCAGACAGTGGAGCTGGAGGGAAGCCTGTCAGTCAGCTGGATTGAGTGTGATGGGGTCTAGAGGGAAGAGGGAGGGGATGCTGCTATCACCACCCAGCACTTTGGCAGGGAAGCAGACTATTGTAAGGGCAACCTCAGCGGGCTGGGGACATCCCTACCTCCAGGACCACATCCCTACCTCCAGGACCAGCGGCCTCTGAGGAGAAGCGTCAGCCAGGGAATCATGCATGAACAGTGAAAGTCATGATCCTCCCACCCATGGAGGGGGCAGCTAGGCTGTCCAGAGCACGGATGTGGAGCTGCACAGAGTAGCCCACTGCCAAGAGCAGACCCGATGACTCCTCATCCTTGGCTTCGTGCTCGCTCGCTCTCGTGGGAGAGACAAGCCTGTTCCCTAGCCCATGTCTTAAGAGTTTGTCTTTCCTTTTTCTTCTGCTATTGTTTTAAATACAATTTCCTCTACGATAAAGTGGTTGACTGTTGTCTTCCTACTCTGCATATGTGTGTCTTGCACAAATGCAACAGATGGGGAGGCAATAGGCATAAAATATGTAGGGAAAGAGAGAGAAAGAGATTCTTTTAAATGCTGTGGGTGCGTCCTGCCCTCCATGGGGGCTTAGGGCAAAAAAGAGAATTACCGAGCCACATTTTGTGTAGGACGGCTGAGTGGCGCCATAGTGCACACATTCATCTTCCTCAGTTCAAATCTGGCCTCAGTTTCCTCATATGTAAAATGAGCTGGAGAAGGAAATGGGAAATCGCTCTAGTATCTCTGCCAAGAAAACCCCAAATGGGGTCACAGAGAGTTGGACGTGAGTGAAACGACTCCACAGAACCTGCTGTAGCCGCCTTCATGGCCTTTACAACAAAATATTCTCATCTGCCCATTCTGCCAGGGAAAGTCTTCACGTGCTTGTGGTAAACATCCCCCAAACTCACTGATGGGTTTGAGGCCTGTCGCTTACTCTCCCTCTCACCTGTGGCTCCAAGAAGCTGTAGCATGCCCAGCAGCTGTCTCAGCAGAGGGGCTAAACCAGGTTGAGGGGAGCTGACCAGCTCCTCCAAAGGTAAACAAGATCTGTCTGTGCTCTAGTGTAGGGAGAGCACAGTGGTAGTGAGGTATGCACACAGAGAACACATGGGAAGCTCCCCTGTCTGCTGGGCTTAGTGCGCCCAAATTCATAGTGCGCACTTCTTCTCAAAATAAGGAGACAGGTCCCTTAAAACTCCCTTTTCCCAGGTGACTATCAGTCTTTATCTATTTGCCTTCAGTGTGTCTCTCTACTTGGTTTAGGCGTCTCCACGGCTGTGTAGCTCCTACCGCACTGGAGGATTGTACTACTGACACCATTCAACTCCAGCCCATTCATGGGACCTGTTATGGGATCTCACAAAGTCCTAATTCTCATCTGGCTCCCTTCCTCTTGTGCAGAGACGATGGCAAAGGGTTAGGAAAGAATTATACAGTGTTTAGACTATCTGTAAAGACTGACAACCATTGATACTCCAAATGTTAGATAGCCTGATCCAATAATTGATTAGTAAACATACTGTTGGAGAAATTGAGTTACGTTCATCCTGACATTCTTGCCATAAAATAAACCAGAAGATAGAAAGAAAAATGGCAGCAAAATGGTAGGACTAGCTAGAGGTTCTTCTTGTAGAGACAAATAAAGCAGTTAGTAGAGCTGCTCTTATTGGGCACCCAAAGGCAAGAAGAAATCTTTCGTGGGACGTTTGTTCATTTCACATTGCAGTGCTTGTGACAAGGATTTGAAAAGAAGACCACCACAAAAGTAAATGCAAATTACGCATCTTCACCTGTAACAAGGGATGAAGAGCAGAAGAAATCATATAAGGACTTGATCACACTCTCCCTAATTAAATTAGCAGGAGCTTTGCTACTTAGTGACATCAATACAAAGGTAGGAATAGTTGAGGACAGTGATAAACACACTGGAAAATACAAAGGGAATGAAGACCGACAGAGTCACAGAGATTGTATCAAAGCTTCACATTTGTATGTCATGAGTACTTCCGACATACTGTATACTGAATGACATCACGAAAAGTGAAACTGATCATATTTTAAGTGACAAGAAATGACCCATTACTTCTGTGAGAGTCAGCTGGCTGGACCCAGACCACCAACTTGTCAGAGCAAAAATCAAAATTAATACAAGGCTAGGAGAATACAAATGAGGGAGAAAAAAGAAAAAGAAAAATGAGGAAAAGATGCAGCATCCTTCTGGACCTCTGCTGCATTTGACCCTATAGAACACCCCCTCCTCTCTTCTCACAGGGTTTTTGTGACATGGCTGTCATCTGGTTCTCCTCCTACTTACCTGACTGCTCATTTTCACTTTCCTTTGATGGCTCAGCCATCATTTCACACACCCCTAATGGGGACATCATATCCAATGTCCCATACCTGTAGACTCCCTCCTCTTCAAAAGAATGAGGGTGGGTGCTGGACTATAGCTACTTATTAAAGACTATTGAGATTATTAATCTTGTTGATTATTAAACTTATTGAAAGTGGAGGCTCCATTAAAAAAGAGTTTGGAAAGTACAGAGGCTCTAATAACCCAATCCAGCCTCCAAATCCCCTTCCATAAGTACAAATCCTTTAAGTAACCCTTACATTGGAAGGGAGCTGAAGATGCAGTTCAACTTGGGGCTCTGCGCCTTTTGGTTTCCTGCCATTTTTGCCTGGAGGCCCCTAGTCTTCAGCTAAAAGGCTTTGATGATATCAGGTCCTGCTGCTTAGCAGCAATCCCTGTAAAGTAACAGAGGTAATCTTCCCAGTCCTGTTTGGGTGTTCAGGTTCTAGAGTCAGGCATGCCTGTAGTCAGTCGTCCTTTGCACTCACCGTGAGTTCATAGAGGTCATGGAAGTTTCCTACGCTCTCAAAGTTGAGATTTTAAGTCTCACGTGCTCTCAGCTTCGGCCAGTTGCTCAGCCCTCAGAGCCCCACCATTTAACTAAGCAAATGTGGGGCAGTGGCCCCCGCTCCCCACATGTCTTCTGCGCATCAGAGCGGGGAGTCACAACACAGTTTGTTTATGGGGAAAGTTCATATGCCATTTCCCAGGATGAAAGGGAAATATCATTTCCCAGAATCAACACAGATCATTCATTCATTCATTTGCTTATTCAACAAACACTTACTCTGCTTAATAAATCGCACTATGCTGGGTTTTAGAATAGGTACAAAGCTTAGATAAAATACCATTCCTGCTCTCATGGAGCTGATAGTCTCAGAGGGGGATAAGACAGTCTGAGGATCTTCGTTCAATTCCGCCTCTGACACTTAATACTTGTATGACCTTGGGTAAGCTGGGCCTCAGTTTCCTCCACTATAAAATGAAGGGATTAGATTAAATGGTCTCTGAGGTTTTTTCCATCTCTTGAGATATGCTCCTATCACCCTGTAATTATACATGTACCTGACATGGGGAGTACATTCAATTTGCAAAAACAAAATGTAAGACAATTCACTTAACCAAGGCAAGGTGACCTTTGATTTTCCAAAACTAATGTGCCTTTTCTTTTTGTTTCAGATGCCCATGTTAATCTTGGCTCTGTGGTCCTCGTTTTCTCTACTCAGGGAATAAGTCGTGGTTGTACTATGGTTTTGGCTTATCTCATGCATCGGAATAAAGAATCCTTAAGGGTATGTAGACTAGCATTTCTGCTTTTTTCTTTCTTTTCCTTGGAATGCAGACAGGGTTGTTATGGGACTCCAATGAGATATGGATATAAAGCACTTTGCAAACCTTAGATAGATGCCAATAATAATAATAATAACTTATAATAATAATTATTATTATTACCCTCTAGGATGGTGATGAATTCATCCCATGAGCCTTCCAGTACTCTGCTGCTGAGCTTAAGAAATGTTTATAAGGCAATACAGGAGTGTACTGGTAAATGCTTAAGAGTCAGGCTCTCAGAATAAAAATATATGCACACACACTTTTCATTTAATCTGCATTATTAACACTTTCTTAAGTCTAGACAATCAACAAAACAATAAGCCAAGCCCTGATTTGTAGCAATTGTTGGTTTCTGAGATGCATTTGATCACACTGAAATTTGTAAATTGGCTTTTCACAAGCTATTTGGAACTGGCTCCAGCACACTCTTACGTTTACATCTGTCTATCTCATCTGACAATCAATAGACCGGTCAGTCAGGTATATGTCAAGCACAGATAGAAGTGAAATAGGATCTTATTGTATCTTAGCTCTAACACTTTTTCTTCATGAAAAAAAAAAAACTTAGAAGGTTGGGGGAAACTTCTCTTTTTCCCATCCTAGTCAAAACTCTATGTAATTACAGACCTGTGTAACTATAGAAAATCTCCCCCAGGTTCACAGTTCTCTATGGGTAGACTAACTCAAGATGAATACGCTTTGAGCTCTTACTAATATGTCTGCTTTTATCAGTGAGCCAAAGGACATATTAGTTCAAAAGATAGCAAATATCATAGTAAATAAAGTCATTTTCTTTAGAAAATTCTTTCCATGTACACAAAGGGAACACCACATGACCACCACATGAAATATACACATACAGAGAATATATGTGCCAAGGATACACTTGACCATAGCAACTCACACTTTCAATGTTTTCAAGGTTGCTGATGCCCTCTGGTAATATCATACTTCCCTCTGCTGGAAGTATCATCTCTGAAGGACATCACTCCAGTGGTGTTGTTTGCTGTTATCTTGGTCATGCTAGCATATTCTCGTGCTTACTTCTTGAGGGTCATTTGCCAGCTATCTGTTTCCATCTGCTAGGATGCACTGATTAGAAAACCCCTCCCTGATAAAAGCAGACAGACAGCTCTTTAGTCATAAACAGAAGCTATGAGAGACCTCAAAGGCTACAAGCCAAGACTAAAGTGGAGGGAGAGTTGGTGCATGATTTTTTCTTTGCAGATAATTTTGCACTCAATTGCAGCCTCTGAAGCTGAGATGCAACAAAGTATGGATTGTTTCTCTGCTGCTTGTGCTAATTTTGGCCTAACAACACCATATGAATTCTCTTATATTGTAAAATTTGAGTGGCAATTGTGAGCCAGAAATGGTGTTAGACAAAGCAATTTTAATGTGAATTTTGTTGAAACTAAAAGACAGTGGAAAAAATTGTTTAAAACCAGTTATGTTATTTTATTAAGCCCCGCTAACCTCGTCTTGCAACTAAAACAATTTCGCTCTCACTTATGAAAATTGTAAGATTGTTAACTAATTTACTTAGGGTTATTGTTATAATGTTAAAACCTAAAATTGGTCCCACAGCAGCTCTAAGGGCAGATGAAGTGGATACTCCCTACTCTCCTCCCTTAAGAAGATGGCCAAGGTCGCCTCCAATGTAGGACTATAGAGGGTGACTGGAGGCCACATGTGCCAGCTACTGGGATCCTAAAAATTAAATATGGGAACCCTGAAAGACATCCTGGCCAAAAAAAATTCAGTCAGGGCAAAATAAAATAAATTAGAATTGCAAACAGGGGACCTGCCATGCAGAAAGTATATGGTTTTCATCAGTCCAGAGGAAGAATATCATGGGGTGGACAGGCAGCCCCTTCTCTGGGGTCCCTGCTGAGTCCCCTTATTTTTTAGCTTGCCAGATCCCTGGAAACCATCTAGTGGGCAAGGTCATCAGCCCTGGATTAAAAAAGCATGTTTGGGTTATGGAGTCCCCAAACAATGAACTCCATCAGCCAGCACTGTACCACCCATGCATGGAACCACTGGTTGGAGCAAATGGAGAAGTTGTGAATGTTGTGGATAAGTTCACTTACCTTGGCCGTACACTTTCTAGGCACGTACACGTTGATAATGAGGTTGACACACACATTGCCAGAGCTAGCTCAGTGTTTGGGAGGCTCTGAAGGAAAGTATGAGAGAGAAGAGGTATTAGACTGCCTCCCAAACTGAAGGTCTCCAGAACCATTGTGCTCCCCTCATTGCTGTATGCCTTGAAACCTGGACAGTCTACCAGCGCCATGGCAGGAAACTCAATTGCTCCCATTTGAATTGCCGTGGGAAGATTCTGAAGATCACCTGGCAGGATAAGAGACCAGACACTGAGGCCCTTTCTCAAGCTGAACTGCCAAACATTCAAACTCTGCTTCAGAAAGTGCAATTTCGGTGGGCTGGCCACGTTGTTCGAATGCAAACCGTATACTTGCCAAAAAGACTATTTTATGGAGAACTCACACAGGGCAAGTGTTCAGAAGAAGTAATACAAGGACACTCTCAAGGTCTCTCAAGAACTTTGGAATTGATTGTGTGACATGGGAGACACCGGCACAGGACTGCCCGACATGGCATGCCCACATCAGAGAAGGTGCTGTGCTCTGTGAGCAAAGCAGAACTGAAGTAACTCCAAAGAAACACGAGATGCAGAGATATAGAGAATTGTCCCCAAATGTTCACAAGGACTACTTGTGGCCACCCTGTGGTAGAGCATTCCGAGCTTTTATTGGTCTGATCAACCACAGTCAGATGTGTTGTCACTTGACCCTAACACAGTGAGGTCACTTTGGTCTTTTTTGAGAATGAAGGACAACAACCCACCATGAAAGACCATACCTAACTAAAGGGGAACTAAAGAGAAGCCAGGCAGAGTGTCCTTCTGCAAAGACTTAACTCTTTTCTTTGGCCTCTGTTTAGGGCTAAATCACAGTCCATGATCCCGAACAACTCTCTGACTTAGGGTTGGAAATTTCTTATACCTCTCACTTAGCCCTTTAAAGTGGATGTGGTGCCTCCAAAACCCATTTCAGAGGTTTATATCAAAAACAGCCACAAAAGTTCTGTGGAAGGGAGGGGAATAAAGCCCACTTTCTTCCCAAGATCCTCTCTGGGTTGGCAGGCAGATGAATTTAAGCCAGAACTAAAGGTAAGCAAAGAAATTAAGGCCATTGTCCTCTACCATCCTGTCCCACATGCCTGCCTTTTTTATTGTACATATGATATCTGTCAGGAGACAAACTCAACCTAGACTTGTTACATGTTGGCCAATGAAAAATTCCACATTCTCCCTACTTGTTCTGTATCTTATTTGCTTATTAGAGTTCTGTCCCCCCAGAAGATATGCAGGCACTTTTCCAGTGCCTCAGGTAATTATGTATATTTTTGTAAAGTTCTTGGGGGAGAGAAGAAGAGAGTTGCAGTGGTCAGAGTCCCTGGAAATTCTGCCTTATTGGTCTAATATCACTTTCTTATTCTGTTTCATTGAGGAAATCCATTCAAGCCAAGCGCAGATGCCCCCCCCCCCACTTTCACTGTGTATAGGGTTTAAGTTTCCAGTATCAGTGGGCCCCTGGTAACTATTAAATACTAAATGTAAATACATTCTCTTGTCATGAATATCTTGGAAAGTTTCTCTATGCATTCTGAAAGACAAGGGGAAAGTGTTGGTGTAGATAGATTCAACTTAAAACTTAAATGACACCAGCCTAGGTCAGTGGCAGAGACTAGAAAGGAGCAGTTTTCCTCATTTACGCAGCTAGTAGGTGTTTGAGTTGGGATTAGAACCCAGAGCCTTCTTGACTCCAAGCCCAGGGAGTGCTCCAGCTATTCCACCAGGTGGCCCCTCAGGCCAGCCAGTTTAGCCATCCTACAGAGTCTCTGACCTGACGGCCACACACTAGGAAAGACACGTCAGTACAGCCCATTCCGTCATGAGCCTCTCTCGCCTGTTGTTTTCACCGGATCTGCTACTTTGAAACCTTTCCTGACTCTGCCCTCCTCATCCTATGGCTGTTAACTCTCTCCCTTGAAATTACCTTGTATTGACTTCTTAGATACATGTAGCATCCTCGCACTCCAGGCCTGCTACGAAGAGTCAAAGAAACAGAGTAGCAGAGGAATGTGGATTGACCCCTCCCCCCCTTGGTGGTCAGCTTGGCACAGGATAGCCAAGTGAGTGTCTCACAGAGTTCTCTGGCCACGAGAAGGAAAGGTGGATCCGAGCAAGCTGGAAATATAAAAATGCCACCTGCTGTCAATGCTTCAGTGCCCACAGGTCTGAATGCCAAGGGGATGAAAGAATAAATGAGCAGGTAGGCAGGCAGGAGAGGAGGGAGGAAGGAAGGGAAGGAAGGAGGAGGAGAGAGCATGTATTAAGCACTTACTGTATACAAAGCCGTGTGGCAGACTTTGGGGACACAAAGAGAAAAGTAATGCAGTTGTGCCCTGAATGAGCTCACATTCTAATGGGGGAGAGAGCACATATAGAAGGTTTTATCTGCAAAGTAGGAAAGCCATGAGGATGCATGAAATGGGCTAAAGGCAGGAAGACTTTCACATAGCAACCAAATCTGAAATGGATCTTACCAGTTACAGGCAAGGGCTCCATACTGCTTTTTGTCAACAGTACCCTCAGCTCCAAGTCACAAACAACATTCTACTGACCAATGTAGGGCAAGAGTAAAAAAAATAACTTCACCCTTTAACCTAGATTAGACAAAATAAGAGACAAGTTGTGGAGCTGCTGAAGTCCAGAGAGGGGAAAGGTTCAGGAACCCAAGGTCACTGGAAATCCAAACTTTAGAAATTACACCTGAAAACCAAAGCGATGACAAAAATAATACCAGTGTCTCAAATGACTTTGAAAAGGAGAAGATCATGCTTAGGTCAGAATTTCAAGGCACCATTCTTGAGTATAACCACATGAATCCAACTAGAAGACCCGTGATGTCCAAACAGAACAATTCACAATTAAAATCTGCGATGTTACCATGAATGAATGCTCCCATGAAAGTGTGTGAACGTTTCAGGACTCTGACGCTACAGTCTAAGCTGTAGTCATTGCTGTGGATAGAACCTAAGGAGGAAATTCAGTGCCATCAAGAAATGTTGGTAGGGGCACGACAGCATTAGCAGCTTGGGAGAGTCCTGGAGATCTGGGGATGGGCTTTGGAAAATTACGTCTATATCTAGTTCATACATGTGGCAGGAAGCTTGAAGGCTGTACTGCCCAATCAAAGGTAACATAAAAGAAACCTATAGAATGGAACTTGGAAAATAAAAGTACAACAGAAATTCTGTGCCCTCTTAATTAGGAATGGAAAGAAAAAACCCAAAAGTTAAGGTGATACAAGGAGTCAATGCTGGGCAAAGAATAAAACAAACAATCCAATGTCAAGCAAAAACTTTACTGCAGTGAATGGAGAAGCAAAGAAATCAGGAGAGAGATCCCCCTAAAAAGGAGTAGGGAGAACATCTCTGATTTCTAAATGGTCCCAAGAGCCCAACACGACAAAACTGGGTGTTAGATCAAACAAGAAACAGAAAGTATGCGCACCGTTAATAAATGACCAACAAAAACCATGTCAAGGGAGGGGACTGAAACTCCGACTGTTCTGCGTCCCTGAAAAGGATGGGGGGGAGGGTAGATTGGGGGCTCTTGGCTCCTGTGAACCGCAGCAATGTGTAAACGACTAGCAAAGCATTTCCCCCACAGAAACCTGATCCTGTCTTCATTAAGAGAAAGCAGCCCATTCATTACCAGAAGATGAAAACACCCAGAGCTCCCCAAACACCAGGGCTTCCAAAAGTCTTAGTGCAGTCATGTGCTTTAAGAGGCCTGTGCAGGCCATTTACATGTTTGTGTTCTTTATACCAAGCATTCACAGTATTTAATCCCTCAAATCTGTAGACATTTAAAAAGAACCATGTATTGACTGAGAAGCAAAAAGGGCACACTTGAAAGTCCCAGGTGATAACAAGAAAACCCTTTTACCTATTTGGTAATTATTAAACAAGCTGTCCCAAAGTGCCGTAACTTGCTTCATGATTATGGCAAAGCCTTTGACTCTATCTCACACTTGTGGCTTGTTCACATACTGGGACTGTGCAAAATAAACCAAGTATAGTAAAAGCACTAAAGAGCACCTGATAAGCGTACTGGAAAACTAGTTTGTATTTAAAACATACCATCAGCATAGTAATGTCCAGAGTAACTGATATAAATCACGACATCCTCAGAGAAAACCCATTATGTTTCTGCCCAAAATCCATTATTATCTCTCTTAAGTAGGAGTCAGTCTGGCTTCCAGATTGAAGAGAAAAACAAGCCAAAACATCTGACTAATCATTTGAATGACACGGATAAGGTCAATTTATATGACCGCACCCAAGAGCATAGCAAAGAGCTCCTTCACTTTGTGAATTCCTTCTTCAACAATATCAGAATGGTATTTGGACTCAGCAAGTGTAGTGTTCTTAAAGTACACCAAGGAAAGATAGTCACTGAAGGTTTTGAGCTTGAATGTGGAAGTCACATTGAACCAAATGAATAAAGATGATACGTAGACATATTGAGCATAAAGAAAACCGAGAGAAGGCCGAATTTCAAGAGACTTAGCAGCATCCTGAAATCAAATCTGAGTGGAAAGACTAGGCTTAAAGAATGAAAACTTACCAACAACAGTCTTAATGTCCACTTTCAGAATTATAAAATAGGTCATAACAGATTTGAAAAGTATCCTAGCAAAAATCCATCCAATATTCATGAAACATAGGGTCTGTCACCTTAAGTGGGCTATAGGGAAAAAAATGAATACTTCTTCTAAAAAAGGAAGGAAGCAGATTAATAACAGTTCAAAAAAATTAAAACCTTCAGAAATACTTTTGGGACAAGTAGATATCAATCAGTGCACAGTAGTTAAGGCTGGCAGTAGGTACACACCCTTGGATTTCTTTCAGATAATTGAAAGTGGTTCACCTGTGGATAGAACCTGTAGAATGACTCATATCCCAGAATGGACTCAAAAGACACCTCATGGGTAACATCCGTGTGAACCCAGCTAACAATACATTGACAAAGAAACATCAAATAAGTGACTGTCCTATAGGAATGAGGGGCTTATGATAACAATTCAACCCCAGACCATCACCACCAGAAATTACAAAAGGAATATCCTTTGAAGAGCCCAGATTTAGTGATACTCCAGGATGTCAGTATTTACCACTACTGAATACCTAGTAAGACATGACCCTGTGGCTACAATCATATGTCAGAAGCTTGCTATCTTTCACGGACTGACAGATGACAAATCTCTATCCTATAAATACAGGCTTCAAAATAGCTTAGAGAACTCAACCAGTAAACTTGTATGGAAACTGAACCAGTTTTGTTGTTATTCAGTAATTTCCAGTCGTGTCTAACTCTTCATGACAAAAACTCTTCTTGGAAAAGATACTGGAGTGGTTTGGCATTTCCTTCTCCAGCTCATCTTACAGATGAGGAAACTGAGGCAAACAGGGTTAAGCAACTTACCCAGGGTCACACAGCTAGGAAGTGTCTGAGGCCAGATTTAAATTTCCTGATTTCCTGGCCCAGCACTCTATCTGCTGGACCATTTAGCTGCCCTAACTGAACCATTATTGCAGGCGAAACTGTTGCCCGTAATTGCCTGCACGTAACATTGATCCATGGAAATTTTTAACATTGTTTCTAACTGATGTCAGCTTACCAGAACTTCATAATCTCTCCAAATTACCTATAATGAAACAACTTTCTAAATGTAGAAGCCTGGCGTGGGATGTCAAAATTACATGGGAACAGGTTGAAGTACCCATTATATTTGTTATTCTGACTACTACTGGAGTTGTACCAGAGATGCTTTCCATGAGCCTACAGAGAAAGAGCTTGCATCCTTTATTCAACTGCAAAAAAAAAAAAAAAAAAAAACATTGATTGTATCTCCTTGTAAAATTGTCCATAGAACTTTTAATATAAAGGAATAGTTTCAGGAGGGCAACTTGTCCCAGAACCACTTCTTATTGAAAAAGAGGAGAAGGATAAGATGATAGCTGCTCTCAGAACACACAATAAAACAGGTTCCATGTTTGCAGAAATACTTTTGGACAAAACAGCCCTTACTTCCCAAAGGCCATCAACCAACACATACCACTGAATCTGTCAAATGGAGGTGAAAGTGATTTGTTTCTGGATGGAACTTGCAAAGACCCAAGGATGGAGTCATAAGGGCCTTCATGTGTGATAGCCGCATGAGCTCAAAGAACGATACGTCCGTGAAGCAGCAGCCAACAAGTGATTGATGCCAAGTGAAGTGAGCAGAGCCAGCAGAACAAGTTTTTCAATAACCACAACATCACAAAGACAATCAGACCTTGAAAGAACTCTGGCCAATGCAGTGGCCAACTGTCATTCCAGATGACCGAGGAAGGAGCATGCTGCATACTTCCTGAAAGGTTATGGATTAAAGATGCAGGACAAGACATTCATTTTCAGATGTGGCCAGTGTGGGGATTTGCTTCGCAAACCATGTGTGTTTGTTACAAAGGTTTGGGGGTTTTTCCTCTTAAATTGTGGCAGTGGAAGGAGGTTGAGAAGGAGAGAAAATAAATGCTTGGTAATTGAATAATAAAATAAAGCAAAAGATTGAAAAAAAATATTACCAGAGAACATTATCTCACTGGTTCTAATGCAAGGGAGGAAACTGCCACAACCCTCTCCACTCTCTTGACAAAACTTGGCTTTCTTCTTCCTGTATTTGCAGAGATCCTGGGCCCATGTGCAGAACTGTAAAAACAACATTCGGCCCAACAGAGGCTTTGTGCAGCAGCTGGTGAATTGGGAGAAGGTGATCCACGGGGCTGTTGTCACCGATATTTCAGATCCCCATTACTGACCCTTCCCCGGAGCTTCCCAGAAAAACAAAGCCTTCTGTTTCTTCACTTCAGCTGAGGTTGACTCTTTGAGCAGCGTGGGCCAGGACAGAGGGAGGGGATGCTTGTGGGTCCCCTCATCATCCTTGGATTCCAGAGTTCTCAAGTGGCCTCCAGTCACTACTTAGGACAGTCCCCTTTGAGGCACTGGGGAACCGAGGAAGGACGAGATAAAGGAAGCAGGAGGAGGAATTGGCCTGGTCACTTCCCCGTTTGGATGTCAGGGTCCTTCTGTGTCAAATTAGGGGGCTGGATGAGACGATCCCTGAGGTCTCTTGCAGTTCTCAGTCGCACGTGAACAAAGCAGGGTTGTCTTCGTGCATTTGCATCCTTGGTCCAAATGGAGCACATCTGAAACACAGCTCTCCAGCCTAACTGAAGAAGCGTCCTCTCCCACTGGAGGCCAAGCCAAAGTCATTTGTATTCCCCCATAACAATTAGGTGGGTACCCTTCAGCCCCCGGCACTGAAGGGGTACGCAGGGGTACATAAAGCTTATCCCATGCATCAGTGAGGCTCCAAGGATGACTGAAGCTTCCTGAGATATGATTTGGACTAAGGTGGGCCTATGGGATCCAGCACAGCCCAAAGGGGCCACATCAGGGTCTACCTCAGCCCCAGGGCTGTCCCAACACTTTTAGGAGTGGTTCGGAACCGTGGGGGAAGGGGATTGGAAAAACAAGTATTATTCCTAGGGTGCTCTGTCCCCAACCAAAATTGAATCATTTCTCAATCTCCAAAGTTGTGAAGCCTCAGTGATCCCCAGATCCTAGCGGGATTCCAAGTAGAGTTATAGGGTCCAGGTATCTGAAGAACAGAGTGGGATTAAATATTATCATTCCTCATTACAGGCGCCACCTTCTGGCCCTTAAATCCTGACCAATGAGAACCATGCCTTCCTTGGGCCCAGAAGCGTCCCATTCGGTATTTCCAATTCATTGCTTTTCTTTACTCTCTTCCTTGATTATCTGTGCTGGTCTGTGCTTCTCAAAGAAAGAGGCCCACTTTTCTGGAGCTCTTAGGACTCTACACAGAGATCCTCCTAGGATCTTGATCAAGTCCCAGGCCTCACTTAGAATGAGGAAGAAAAAGCCTCCTTCATGGAGCAGATTCCTCTGGAGGTCAGCCAGCTCAGTTGGCTAAAGTAGAGTGTGAGGTATTATAGAAAGGGCCCAGGATCTGGGTTCAAACCAGGCCTCTGCTGCTCTGCTACAGGCTGTTACTTCCCCTCTCTGGGCTTCATCTATAAAAGAAAGGGGCTATACATTCTATTTGTGATCAAAACCCTATGAAACAATCCTAGGGAAGGTCAGCGAAGAGATTATTAGCCCATTTTATAAATGAGGAAACTAAAGCTTGGAAGGGAAAACCCAATGACTAAGGGTTGAAGTCAGGTTATTCCTGACTGACTGCATGGCATGGTGGGCATTCTTTCTGCCCCACAAATCTGCCTCTCAGGAAAAATATCTAAAGGTGAAATACAAGGAGACCTAGGGCATTTATGATATTTAACTCCTTATCTGAGAGACAGCGTAGCATAGTAGAGAGCCAGTCTTGGAGACCAGAGTTCAGGTCCTGCCTTTGGCCCACACTGACTATGTGATCCTGGCAAGTCACAATGACCTCTTAGGGCCCCCCAAGAAATTCTTTAAGACTATGTGTGGCAGAGTAGTAATTATGTTTGTAGAGAGAGGTTGCCCACTGGGAGTTCCTTGTGCTAATGAAATCAGAGATCCAGTCAAAAACAAACCCAAACCAATTCCTTGCTGAAGCAGCCACCAGCTGCTCCACAATTATGGCCTTTCTGCACTTTCTGTTGAGGTTTAGGGGGTTCTGGGACCCCGAAATAGCAACGCACAGGTCCTGCCTGAATGAATTTGACCCAAACTTTCTTTCAGCCAAAGACAAAGTTTATTAAAGATCTGCCATATTGGCCAAACTCTTAAAGAATCTGAACATTTGTGACCCTCATATTGACAAGTGGGCTACATTGAATCTGAGCCATGGGGCCATTTTTTTTGGTGAGGCACTCAGGGTTAAGTGACTTGCCCAACATCACAAAGCTAGTAAGTGTCAAGTGTCTGAGACAGGAAATGAGCTCAGATCCTCCTGACTCCAAGGCCAGAACTCTATCCAGTGCGCCACCTAGCTGCCCTCATTGGCCATATTTTAAGAATCTGAGCACCTTAATGGAGGCCAAGATGGATCTTATATACAGAAAGACTGTGGGAAGGATCCAGGAGCGGCCAAGTCATCTGGGGTGACTGTGAGGAGGGGTTCACAGTGGATCTGGATGGGAGTGGCCAGTAGGCTGGGGTGACTGGGAGGTCGAATGCTAGGGACCTGGGCTATGTGGCCAAGGGAGACTGGGATCTAGATAAGATGGAGGAGTGGAGGTCTAGGGTGGAGCCAGGTGCAGGCAATAGAAGGGCAGTTAATTAACTGGAAGGGTCGATGCCTCAGATGAACGTGACCACCAAAGACTTGACCATGTGGGGAAATTCAAGGAAAGGTGGAGGAGGGGAGTTTCCAGAGCCTGTACCCCATCATTCCCCCTTGAGACAAATGGGACCCAATTCTTTTGGGGTAAGGGGCAAAGGTCTCAGCTTGGGCCCACAAGCCATCATTTCCAAATCTCAGATATCAAAGAGAGATATGTGTGTGGAGGTGGAGAGAGTGAGAAGTGGGGGGTGGGGCAGGCATGAAGATCCCCCATAAAGGACAGAAATCCTTCTGTGAAAGAACTTTCAAAAGGAGCCAGACAAATTTTGGGGCCATATTCCTTTATGGCTTCTGGATTGCATCTGCATCCAATCGGGAAGAGATGCAGAGAAGACTATGACCCTTCTTCCTGGAGTAAGCCTATAGAGCCCACAAGACAAGCTATGCACGTCTGGCAAGGTGGCCAGAAGTCAGAATGGATGTGTTGAGGTTTAGAAGTTAGGGGTGCTGGGACCCCAAAATAGTGACACCCAGGTCCTGCCTGAATGATTTTGACCCAAACCTTCTTTCAGCCAAAGACAAGGTTTATTAAAGATCTACCATATTGGCCAGACTCTTAAGGAATCTGAACATTTGTGAGCCATTGGCTAGAGTTTAAGAATCTGAGCCCCTTAATGGAGACAAGATGGACCTTATGTACAGAAAAACTGTGGTAGGGATCCAGGAGTGGCCAAGTAGTCTGGGGTGACTGTGAGGAGGGGTCTAGGGAAGACCTTGATGGGAGTGGCCAGTAGGCTGAGGTGACTGGAGGAGGGGTCTAGGGAGGATCTTGATGGGAGTGACTGGGAGTAGAAAGGGGTCTAGACAGGATCAAGGGTGGGAAATGACCAGGGTGATAGGGACGTAACAGACAATGAAGGTTGGGCTGGGTCAGAGGTAACAGAATTGGGAGATTGGGCATAACCTCAATGAAAGTAGCCACTAAGAAAGGCCAGCTGAGAGGATTACTGGGATGATGCCTCAGGAGAGCGACAAAGACTTGACCATGTGGGAGAAAACTCAAGGAGAGTTGGCTGGGTGGGGGGAGGGGAGGTTTCCCAGGGCTCGTACACACTCATTACCACTACTAAGTCTGTTTCCCAAGGGGACTAAGGAAAAAGAAAAAGAACCTATATGTTCTAAAATATAACAATATAAGCTCTCTTTATGGTGGTAAAGAACTGGAAATTGCAGGGATGCCCATCAATTGGAGAATGGCTGAACAAGTTGTGGTATATGATTGTGAAGGAATACTATTGCACTATAAGAAATGGAGATTTTAGATTTTAGAAAAATCTAGTTGATTTAAGTTGATTTTAGAACAACATGGAAAGATGCATGACATAATGAAAAGTGAAATAAGAACCAAGAGAACATTATATACAGTAACAGTAATATTGTTTGAAGAATACCTATAAATGACTGTTATTCTGAGTACGATAGCTAAATCAACTGCAAAGGACCTGTGAAGGAAGAATTCCACCTCAAGAGAAAGAATTGATAAATAGAAGTATGCATAGCGTGTGTGTGTGTGTGTGTGTGTGTGTGTGTGTGTGTGTGTGTGTGTGCATGTGTGTTTGTGAGAAATGGTGGCCTCTAGTGTGGAGTGGGGAGGGAGGGAGGAAGACAGTTGGAGCTTAAAATGTAACAAAAACAGAAATAAACTTTTAAAAAAAGATATGTAATAATTTACTTTTGACTTTGAAAAGCAAGATTGGGGGAACCCCTATCGGTGGAGGTCAAACCCATTTTGATAAATTCTGATTTTCCCCCTTAATTATTTTTTTAATTTAGTTTTTTATTTTCCCCAGTTACATGTAAAAACAATTTTAACACTCTTAACTTTGTATTTCAAATTCTCTCCCTTCTTCCCTCCCCACTCCCCGCACTGAAAAGGCAAGCAATTCGATATTGATATACATGTGTAGTCATGCAAAATATATCCATGGCAGTCATGTTGTGAAAAAACATAAACAAAAAAAAACTCAAGAAAAATAAAGAAAGTGAAAAAAGTATGTTTCAATCTGTATTCAGACACCATCACTTCTTTCTCTGGGGATAGAAAGCATTTTTCATCCTAAGTCCTTCAGAGTTGTCTTGGATCCTTGTATTGCTGAGAATAGCTAAGTCATTCACAGTTGATCATCCCACAATAATGCTGTAGCTTTGTACACAGTACATTTCACTTTGTATCAGCCCAGGTTTCTCTAAGAGCACCCTGCTCATCATTTCTTATAGTACAATAGTATTCCATCATAATCACATATCACAACATGTCCAGCCATTCCCCAATTCATAGGCATCCCCTCAATTTCTAATTCTTTGCCCCGAGAAAAGAACTGCTATAAATATTTTTGTACATATGGGTCCTTTTCCTTCTTGGTTTTTATCTCCTCTGGGATACAAACCTAGTAGTGGTATTGCTAGGTCAAAGGGTATGCATGGTTTTATAGCCCTTTGGGCACAGTTCTGAATTGCTCTATAGAATGGTTGAATCAGCTCACACCTCCACCAACAATTCATTAATGTCTCATTTTTCCCATATCCCCTCCAACATTTGTCATTTACCTTTGCTGTCCTATTAGCCAATCTAATAGGAATGAGGTAGTACCTCAGAATTATTTTCATTTGCATTTCTCCAGTCAATAGTGAGTTAGAGTGTTTTTTTAATATGGCTATAGATAGCATTGATTACTTCATCTGAAAACTGATCATATCTCTTGATCATTCTTTGGGGAATGGCTCTTATTTTTATAAATTTGACTCAGTTCTCTACATGTTTGAGAAATGAGGCCTTTATCAGAGAAACTTGCTTCAAAAAATTTTTTTCACGGTAACTATTGCTGACTGTATTTGCCTCTATCCTATTCCACCCCCTTCTCTCCTTTCACCCTGCTCTGCCTCAAAAGTGTTTTGCTTCTGACTACCCCCTCCCCCAATTTGCCTTCTCTTCTATCACCCCCCCTTCCCCTCCTACTTTCCTGTAGGGTAAGATAGATTTCTATCCCCAATTGAGTGTGTATGTTATTCCCTCTTTGAGCCAATTCTGATGAGAGTAAGGTTCACTCACTCCCCTTCACCTCTCCCCTCTTTCCCTCCACTGTAAAAGCTAAATCTTGCCTCTTTTATATGAGATAATTTACCTCGTTCTACCTCTCCCTTTTTCTTTCTCCCAGTACATTCCTCTCACCCCTTAATTTTATTTTTTAGATATCATCCCTTCATATTCAACTCACACCTGTACCCTCTGTCTATATATACTGACTACTCTAATAATGAGAAAGGTCTTATGAGTTATAAGTATCATTTTCCCATGTAGGAATGTAAACAGTTTAACCTTATTAAGTTCTTTATGATTTCCCTTTCCTGTTTACCTTTTTATACTTCACTTGAGTCTTATATGTGAAAGTAAATTTTTCTATTCAGCGCTGGTCTTTTCATCAAGAATGCTTGAAAGTCCTCTATCTCATTGAATGTCTATTTTTTCCCCCTGAAGGATTATACTCAGTTTTGCTGGGTAGGTGATTCTTGGTTGTAATCCTAGCTCCTTTGCCCTCTGGAATATCATATTCCAAGCCCTCCAATCCTTTAATGTAAAAGCTTCTAAATCTTATGTTATCCTTACTATGATACTTGAATTGTTTCTTTCTGATTGCTTGCAATATTTTCTCAACCTGGGAACTCTGGAATTTGGCTATAATATTCCTGGCAGTTTTCATTTTGGGATCTCTTTCAGGAAATGATCAGTGGATTCTTCCCAATTCTATTTTACCCTCTGGTTCTAGAATATCAGGGCAGTTTTCTTTAATAATTTCTTGAAAGATGATTCTAGGCTTTTTTTTTAATTGTGGCTTTCAGGTAGTCCAATAATTTTTTAATTATCTCTCTTGGATCTATTTTCCAGGTCAGTTGTTTTTCCATTGAGATATTTCACATTGTCTTCTATTTTTTCATTCTTTTGGTTTTGTTTTATTGTTTCTTGATTTCTCATAAAGTCATTAGCTTCCATTTGCTCCATTCTAATTTTTAAGAAATTACTTTCTTCACTGAGCTTTTGGACCTCCTTTTGCATTTGGCCAACTCTGCTTTTTAAGGCATTCTTCTTCTCATTGTGTCTCCTTTACCAAGCTGTTGACTCATTTTCATGATTTTCTTGCATCACTCTCTTTTCTCTTCCCAATTTTTTCTCTACCTCTCTTACTTGATTTTCAAAATTCTTTTTGAGCTCTTCCATGGCCTGAGACCAATTCATATTTTTCTTGGAGGCTTTGGATGTAGGAGCTTTGACTTTGTTGTTTTCTTCTGAGTGTGTGTGTGTGTGTGTGTGTGTTTTGATCACTCACTCTCACTACATGACCTGACCAGCCCATCTTTTCTCTGTTCCTATCTTTGATGACATCCTTAACACTTTCTCTTGCATTTGTAATGTATGGTAGCCTTGTGCCTACCATTGCAATTTTAATTTGTAGGTCTCTATGATTTGCTGCTATGCAGTCTGGTGATCAGCCTCAACAGAAACAACAATTGCTTTTAATGAAGTAAGATAAAATTGGTCCTTTCTACTCCATAACTTCAGTTAACTGAAGCCTCTGATGTGCTATAAGTGAATTGTCTTCAGATTCCTATCGCAGGAGACACAGCTAGGAGTTGTTGACAAAGTCTGGCTCTGTGAGTGGTATAAAGCCCATCCCAGAGAATTCAGTCCTGAGAATTAAGACTCAAGTTCCTTCCCTATTTTTTTTTTTTTTGCATTTTCCAAGGTCCAGTATCACCTACTATTTGATTTTTCAACGGTACCTGCATGTGGTGACTCATTCTGGTTACTGGAGGGACTGAGGTTGGGGGAAGAGGTTGGGAGTGCTGTTAGTCAAAGACTAGGAGAACCCTGAAGTCTCCCACTGTGCTGGTCTGCCCCCAGGGTGGAGAGACATAGAAGGGATCATAAGACTTGAGTTCAAGTCCCAGTTCTAGAAACCTGTTCCTTGTGTGATCCTGGCCAAGTCACACAGGCTTCTTCTCTCTGTGCCTGTTTCTTATCTGTAAGGTGGAATCTACTCAAATCAGATCAACAAACATTTATTGAGCACATGTGCTAGGCACCAAGTTAAGTCACTAGAGATACAAAGAAAGGCAAAAGGCAGTCCCCACTCCCAAGGAGCTCACAACATGCAAACAACCTAGGTACACACAAGCTATTTTTTAGTCATGTCCAATTTTTCCTGATTTTAAGTCCAATATTATTCACTGTACCATCTAACTGCCCATCCTATCACTTCTTATGATGAAAGGAAAGGGAAGACAGGCTGCTCAATTAGTCCAGTGCTGTTGATCAACTGGTGAGTCAAACAATACATCAAAAAGCTCTTTTTTTGATTTGTCTGTTTGTTTGTTCTTGGCTAGGCAATGGGGTTAAGTGACTTGCCCAGGGTCACACAACTAGTGTCAAATGTCTGAGGCTGGATTTGAACTCAGGTCCTCCTGACTCCAGGGCCACCTAGCTGCCCCCCCCCAAAAAGCTCTTTTTAAAGCACCTACTCTGTGCTAAACACTGTTATTTGAGTTGTTTCAGTCATGCCCAACCCTATTTGAGGTTTTCTTGACAGAGATACTGGAGTGGTTTGCCATTTCCTTCTCCATTTCATTTTATAGACGAAGAAACTGAAACAAACAGGGTGAAGTGATTTGCCCAGGGTCACACAGCTAGTGTCTGAGGCCAGATTTGAACTCAGGAAGAGGAGTCTCTCCGATTCCAGGCCTGGTGCTCTATCCACTGCACCACCTAGCTGCCCAGACAAGCTACAGACAAGGTCATTTAGACGTGAGGGAAAGCACTAGAATTAAAAGGAATTGGAAAGGCTTTCTTGTAGAAGTTGGGATTTTAGCTGGGATTTGAAGGAAGCTGGAGAAGTCGAGCCACAGAGATAAGGGGAGAATTCCTGGCATGAGGGAGAACCGGTGAAAATGCACAGAGTTGGGGGATGGAGAGTGTCATGTGTGAAGAACAGCAAGGACACCCACATCTCAGGAAAGTAGATGAAGGGGAGTCAGGTGTCAGAAGACGGGGAAGGAGAGGGGAAGGGGGAGGTTATGAAGGGCTCTGACAACCAAAGGGAGGGTTTTATATTCGATCTTGGAAGTCATAGGGAGTCACTAGAGTTGACTGAATTGGGGAATGGGGGGATGTAATTAACGTGGTCAGACCAGTGCTTGAGGAAGATTGGGTTTGAGTGGAGGATGGACCGGAGGCAGGGGGAGGCCAAGCAGCACGCTATTGCTGGTACAGGTGAAGGTTGATAAGACCTGGGGCAGTGGCCTCGTCAGAAGACAGAAGGGAGCATAAACGAGAAATGTGAAGGTAGATGGAAACAACAGCCCTTGCACTTCACAGAGGTGTTTGTAATAATAATAATAATTAGTGCTTTGTGGTTTTCAGAGCACTTTACAAATATCCTCTGGTTTTGTCCTCCAAACAACTTTGGGAGGCAGGGGTTGTTATAACCCCCATTTTACAGATGCAGAAACTGAGGCAGAGAGGTTAAGTGATTTGCCCGGGGTGTCACAGCTAGTAAGTGTCCCACGTAGAATTTGAACTCAAGGCTTCCTACCTGCCCTTCCCGTGCTTTCCCTAGTGCCAATCACTGACCTCTAACTGTCTCGCGGGGGTGGGTCATCGATTGAGAACTGAAACCCTCAGAGGCATTGCCCAAGGTATACAGGGAATGAGCAGCAGACCCGGGATCTGAATCCAGGTCCTCGGTCTCTAAATCCCGGGCTTCCTCCTTCTTTGACCTTGTAGCTATGCCCGGCACGTAGTAGGGCGTAAGCGGTGCCTGCTCCTTGACTTGGGGCAGAGCGGAGCAGCGGATTAGACTGCGTCCGAGCCCTGCTTCAGGCCCAGGCTGGCGGCGGGCGCGGGCCAAAGTACCCGCCTCGGTTTTCTTCTGCCAAGGCTCGGCCAGGCCTGGAAGCAGCGCATCCCTGCATCCTCCGCCACGGGAGGGCGGGGCGGGGGGCGGGGCTGCACGTGCGCCCCGCCTCCCCTGCCCGGACCCGGATTGGCCCAGGCAGCGGGGGCGGGGCCCGCCGAGCTCGAGGCCCCGCCCCCTCCTATTGGCCGGCGGCGGCGGCGGCGCGGGCCCCGGAAGTGGACGGCGGGGACGGCTGCGGCGCCGGTGGCGGGAGCAGGAGCGGCGGCTGGAGTAGAGGGCTCGGGGTTCGGGGCTCGGCGGGGCCTTCATGGAGGGCCCCCCCGCCCCCTCGGTGGGCGCCTGCCTGCGGGACTGGGAGGAGCTGCAGCGGGACTTCCAGAGCATCCAGGTGAGCGTCCGGGGCCCGCCCCTGCAGCCCATTGGCCGAGCCTGCCAGGTGCGGGCCCCGATTGGTCAGCACGGGCTGCCTGTCCCGAGGGTCGGGACCCTCCGGAGCTGTCCGCGGGCCTCTTCTGGAGCGGCGGAGAAATGGGCTGACTGCGGCGTGGAGGGAGGCGTTGGGAGCCCTGGTGGGAGTGAGGGAGAGAGCAGGGCAGCCCCGGACGACTTTCCGGCCGCCCCTGGCCACAGAGGTCCATCAGCCCGGCTTGATTCCCCGTGGCTTGCCCTGTTGAGAATACCCCAGATCTGTTGGGAGAACCGGCGTTCCGGATGCCGAGAGCCTGCAGCTGGTGAAACCATCTCATTTTACAGATGAGGAAACTGAGGCCCAGGGAGGGGAGGGGACTTGCCCAAGGTCACACCGAGAGTTTCACGAGCCAAGCCAGGTCGTCTTACTTTCTCCTTCCATCCTCTTTCTCCGCTGTGGAGTCCAGGATTCCTGAGGCCCCACTCCACCCCTACCCTGCCCTTCCTGGCGTAGAACACTGGTTCCTCTGAGCCTAGAAGTCTAGGGCGTCCTTCCCGTGCCTCGTCCAGGCACTCACTCTCTCTCTCTCTCTCTCCCCCTCTCACACACACTCTCACACACATACACACACACACACACACACACACACACACACGGAATTGTAATCCACAATGCACTAGGTGGAAACAGGAAGGCAGGACAGCCCACAGGGGTCAGCCATATGCAGCCATGGTTCCCTGTGGAGTGTGACAGCCTTGTTCCTCCCATGGGCTCCCACAGAGATTTCAAGGTTGTGGCTGTTTGCTGGGAAAGCTATCATTAAAAAGCTGGGAATTTGTCGGCGTTCTGGAGGGGCCTGAGTGAGCACCATCTCCTTTGCCCTCGTTGGAAACTTCATATCTGACATACTTGGGTATCACAAGCCTCTGGCCCCATCCCACCTCCTGCTTTGCAGAGCTGACCGGCCCTATTGTGTCGCCCTGACCTAGCTGCTGGGCACCAAGCCAACTAGCCCATTGGCCAGATAGACCACTGCTGGACGTGGGCCAGAAATCCTGGGGAAGTGTCATTAGTGTGCCCCTTAGCCCATCAGTATGGTGGCCTTGCCACTGCTTTGAGCGGGTCAGAGGGCCTTACCCCCTGAGCTGCCAGGCCATCCACCAAAGGGTCTGCTGCCCACCTGCCTAGGCCAGCCCCTGCCAGGATTCAGTGGGTGCTGGGGACTGAGTCAGCTACACCTGGAACACTTGCTCAGCCTCTCTGTCCTCTGGTGCTCTCTGAGGGTTCCTTGTTAAGGAACCATCTGTCCTGACTCCTGACCATGATGTATGTACTTGCGTTTGTGTTTAACTTTATCCAGAAACATGAAGGCTCTCCAGTCTGGGTGGTGGTTTTCTCTGGTTCACTACCGCCAGGACCCTGGAGAATTTCCTCACATTGGCCTTTTGCCAATCCCAGTAATCCCAGAATCTCTTCTCTTCTAAGAGTCCCACCCCCAAGGGCAAAGGGCCCCTCAGCAGGAACTTGGGTGAAGGTCACATACAGCCTATGCCCAGGGTGCACTGGGGCTCAACTTTGGATGTGCACTAAGAGGTCCAAGGACCAAAAGTTGGCAAACTTTAATCCACAAGGGCAGGGACCCCGTGAAGGGAAGCCGGAATGCTTGTTTCCCCAGCTGTCAGCTCCAGCTCCCCCCATTCCCTAAAAGCAGAGGTTCAGGGGGCACTCACTAGCAGTGGTGGGAGGGGAGGGAAGCAGGCGGTGGACGAAGGTGTGCCTGCCCTGTGCACGCCCTTCATAGCCTAGTTGGGCTACTGCCCGGCTACTCACCATCGCAGATGAAGGGCTGGGCCCAGAGCCTTATGTTAGCACTGGAGGGGAGGCTTCATTTTCATCCTTAGGGAACCCCTGATGTGTTGAGGGAAGATATCATCCCTGCCCGACCCTAACACCAACTTCTCTCCCCGTAAGTCATTAGATATTTCGAATGGCCTTTTGGGGCAGAATATCCAGGGACATCATTGTTGGTGAGGAGGCTTGGGAGAGACCTGGCAGGGAGGGCCTCTAGCTCACTGATTGGAAGGACACGTGGATGTCACTTCCTCAGGATCCCTGGGCCAGGGCCCAGGCAATGGGTGGAGCTCCCTCTTTGGAGGAGGTGGCCCAGTTGACCAATGGGCTGGTTTCTGTGTTACCCAGTACAGACACGATAGGCCTGAGATGCAGGAGATGAGACAAGGCACAGAGGTTTGGGGACCTCGTGTTTACACCATCTGGCAGAGGTGATCAGAGAGATGCTCCCTCTACCTGCCCTGAGATTCCTTATTTTATACTTGCCCTGATATTCTTCCTCCTAGTGCCCCACCAAGGGAAATGGCAGGAGAAATCTCTGTTTTCCTCTAAGAGTTAAGTGAAAATGGCCATGAGGAAGAAGATAGAGCCTCCCTCAGAAAGGCCTGGCCTCCTTCCTCATCTTCCCCTTATGCAGCGCCCCCACCCAGCCAGACCCACTTCAGGGCCCAGACTGAGCTAGCCATCCCGCCCCAGCATGGCAGCCCTCCCCCTCTGCTGGCTGAGGGGATGGTACTTGGTGCTTTGCAGTGGGCAGACAGAATTAAAGCAGCTTAGCCAGTGTGTGGCTACCAAGGGTATGGGTGGACTTCATCCACCCCCAGAAGCCAGATGTCCACAGCTCCCTGGCTCCTGTCTTGGTGACTGCAGGCCTTCTGAGGGTCCTCCTCTGCCTCGGTCCCGAAGCCTTGTTCCCCTCACTCAGCCCTTTCTTCTGAGGCTTGCCTTCTCCCCCGCCTCCAGGAGACCCACCGAGAATACCGACTGCAGCTTGAGCAGCTGACCAAGTTGCAGGGCAGCTGCTGTACCTCCATTGCCCGGCAGAAAAAGAAGCTCAAGGAGCTGGCCTTGACCCTGAAGAAGTATGTGACTGTGGGGTGCTGGGTGGCCCCAGCCCAGCCCTAACTCCCCTCCCTGATCTAGGGGCTGAAGCGGGCAGCTGCTAGCCTGTGAAAGGGAGAGGGGAGGCCTGGGAAGGCCTCTGTGTCTCTGGGCCAGGCCCAGCCCAAGGGCTATTTCTAGTCTGGGCTGGGCCCTACCTGAGCCCTGAGGCAAGACAAGGCAGTCTGACCTCTGGCTGTTTGCTCATCTGTAAAATTGGGATTCCTGGCCTGGAAAGGAGAAGACTAGTGTCCAGTGCTTTGAGAAACCTGAAGCCAGCTTTGTGTGTTGTGGGCTGGTCAGGGTGTTCTAGCAGCAGCAGCTCTTTGGGCTGGGAGGGGGCGGTGTGGAAGTGTAGGCGGGTGAGGAGGAACCAAAGCCAAAGATGACTGACTGCTGGGTTTGGCGAAACCCCTGCCTTTCCAGCCCCTGGGATGGCCGGACCTTCTCCAGCAGCTGGGCCAAGCCCTTTTTTTCCCACTGTGCCCTGCAGATGCAGAGCCACCATCCCATCTGACAAGGAGGAGATGGTGCAGGAGATTGAGAACCTTATCAAAGAGCGACAGGGGGTCTTCTTTGACATGGAGGCCTATTTGCCCAAGAAAAATGGGTAAGGAGATGGGGCCCCTGTCGGACAAGTCCTCCCTTAGCAGCCCTGACTGCTCTCTGCTCAGCTGGCCTCTGAAAGTGGCAGCAGGAGAGGAGCCCATGACCTTCCCCTCTGGTCGATGCTTCTTGTAAAACCCACCCCTCCCCATTCAGATGCCTAAAGTAAGGGCTGTGCTAGGGGTGGGGGGAGATAGCTGCCATGGGCCCTCCCCTGCCCTTTGGAGGGGAGGGGAGAGGAGAGGATGGCTCCCGTGCCAGGGTGGGAGGATGTGACGGGTCCTCTCCTCACTCCCCTTCCCCATGTGCCTTCCTCTAGGCTCTACCTGAGTCTTGTCCTAGGAAGCGTCAACGTCACGCTCCTCAGCAAGCAGGCTAAGTAATTTTCCCCGGCCCTAGACTTCTCTCCTCCCCCCCCACCCCTGCCTAGCCCCACGTCCCTGTGGCCAGAGGCTGTCTCTTTGGCCTGCTCCCCATTCCCCTCTGGAGCTAGCTCCCTTTAGAGGGGGAGGTCCACAGGTTCTGGTGTCAGTCAGAAGAGCTGCATTGGAAGGCTTGCTCTGCTTGTCCTACCTGTGTGACTTTGAGCAAGCCCCTTTCCCTCTCTGGGTCTCTGTGTTCTCCGATGTGAAATGAGGAGACTGAAGCAGGCTCCCTTCCAGCTCTGATTGTCTGAGCAACATGGGCTTGGGAGGAAAGCCATGTGTCCCAGCTCATCCCCTGGGCACACAATCCCCCCCCCCCCCCAATCCCCCTGATGTGGGTGTCTCAGCCCGGCCTGAAACTCAGCGAGTTCGGCCCGGCTTCTTGCCAACAGGTTTGCCTACAAGGACGAGTATGAGAAGTTCAAGCTTTACCTCACCATCATCCTCATCATCATCTCCTTCACCTGCCGCTTCCTCCTCAATTCTAGGTAGGCCTCAGGTTGCACGAGGCTGGGCCGAAAATTTCCTTCCTTGGCTGACTGGCCTGAAGTGGGTGGATGGGTGGGGCCTCCTGGCTAGGCCTCCAGCCCAGGGCCTGATGAGCTTCCTCATGTTTTCCCTCTCCTGTCCCTGCCACCCCAAGCTAGGTTTGAGTTCCTCTTTCTCATCCTCAGGGTGACAGATGCAACCTTCAACTTCCTGTTGGTGTGGTACTACTGCACACTGACCATCAGGGAAAGCATCCTCATTAACAATGGGTCCCGGTGAGCTCAGTGTGCCTCCGCTTTTCCCCCTACCGTCCCTCCCAAGACACCTTTGCCCTGGCCCCTCTCCTCCCCTCCCCTCTCCTGGCTGGTTGCTGCGTCTTTCCTCTGATGCCCCCGCACAATCCCTTTAAGGGGTGGGTGGGTGGGAGTGAGTAGCCTGCCCTGTCTTCTCACCAAAATCACCAGGAACCAGTTGGAAGGAGTTGGTGGTTCCCTTTCTCAGGTTTCTTCCCCCATCTTTTCCTCTGGGAGAGGTGGGTGAGGTGTAGGGGTATGAGGGAAGGGAAGGTGAGCAGTCCCTCTACCCCTGTCTCAGGATCAAAGGCTGGTGGGTGTTCCATCACTACATCTCTACCTTCTTATCCGGAGTCATGCTGACATGGTGAGCCTCCTCGTCTCTCCTGTTTCCCCGAGTTCTTACCTCCTTCCTCAGCCTTTCCCCAGAGCCTCTGCAGAGACTCTCACAGCCACTGAATGTCAGAGCTAGAAGAGAACTCTGAGGTCATCTCACCCAGGGACAGATCGAGAGGAAGGGTGACACAGTCACACACACACAAAGTCACACGGCCAGGATTCAGACCCAGGCGTCCCGATTCCCGATCGAGTGCTCACATTGAGAACCTAGAGCCACGGGAGGAGGGAGAGGAGACTGCCCAGAACCCAGCCAGTCATTGTCTAAGTCACACACACACCCCCACCCCCACCCCCGTTCTCTTCCTCTACCAGGCCTGATGGACTCATGTATCAGAAGTTTCGAAACCAGTTCCTGTCCTTTTCTATGTACCAGAGTGAGTGTCTCAGATTGTGACCAGGGACCTTCAACACATGCCTCCCCCAAGCCCTCTCACTACCTCGGGATGGATTTGAGAATCTCCTTGCCACCTGCCCCCTTGGGGTGTGCAGGGAGCCACGGGGGTGGGGTGAAGGGTAATGCCCCTGTGCCTTCCTAAGTGCCTTGGGGAGAAAAAAAGAGGCTTAGAAGAGGATCCTCCTTCCCCATTTCTCATTCCCCTTGGTAAGCACCTCCATAGCAGAACTGCCTTCACTCTGGGCCTTCTCTGTCAGGCTTTGTACAGTTTCTTCAATACTACTACCAGAGTGGATGTCTGTACCGCCTGCGGGCCTTGGGCGAGAGGCATAACATGGACCTCACTGTGGGTGAGTGGAGCCTGCTTCCTTGCCCCCTCTTCTCCACCAATCTCGGGGGCCCCTGGAGGGAGGGAAGGGCCTTCACCCTCGGTGCTGCTGCTAACACTGGGTCCCCTTCCCTCCTGCTTTTCTTCCTCCTGCCAGAGGGCTTCCAATCCTGGATGTGGAGGGGCCTCACCTTCCTCCTCCCCTTTCTCTTCTTTGGTCACGTGAGTCTGCAGGCCCTTTACCCTCCTCCCTCCTCACTGCCCCTAGCTCTAGGCCCAAAGCGAGAAGCTGGGGACAGGTTGGGGACACCCCTCAGAGAGCAAGGACCCCTCCCAAGGGGCAGCAGACTTCAGTCTCGGCTGAGGCTAGGCCTAGCCTCGATACCATTTCCTCCTCTCTAGTTTTGGCAGCTGTTTAATGCGGTGACCCTGTTCCAGCTGGCCGGGGAGCCACAGTGTAAGGAGTGGCAGGTGAGTCCCCGTGCGGTGGCGGGGAGGAGGCCCCCCAGGGGCCCCTCTGCCCAACCAGAGGTGGCCGATGTCTGCCATGCCTCCCTCTCTCCCTCCAGGTGCTCATGTGTGGCCTCCCTTTCCTCTTGCTTTTCCTTGGTAACTTCTTCACTACTCTCCGGGTGGTTCACCAGAAGTTCCACAGCCAACACAGAAACAAGAAGGACTGAGCCTAGGGCCAGGCACAGGACAAGCTCTGTCCCAATCTGGCCCGGGCCTTGCCTTGAACTGAGGCCGTGGCAGCCGCCACCTTCTCCTTGCCCAGAAAAGTCTGTGACTGAGCCCCAGAAGAATCCAGAGCAGCCCTGCTCTCCACCCCCCACCCCAGTCACTTGCCCGAGCCAGTGGGCCACAGGAACGACGGATCCTTGGGTAAGGGCAGGTACCCTGCCTGCCTCCCCAGCTACTCCTGGCCTGGGCCCCGCTGCCCGTAGAGCTCTTGTCCTGAGCCCTGCACTTGTGGGGTCCCAGTGTTCTAGGTCTCCCACCTCCTACCCTCAGGCCCATTGTGTGCCTCAGTGCCGAAGGTACGGGAGTTGTGCATGGCCATAATAAAAGGATGGATGGGGGCTGGAGGCAGCTGGAGTGGAAGCCTTTTCTTCTTGGCCCCAGAAGGGCAGTCCCATGTTGGCTTGTTGCCAGGGACAGCTCAGGGATGCTGGCCTTCCAGGCCAGGCAGCTGGACAGGGTGGGGGTGGGGGGGGCCTGGGCTTCCCAGGGATTTGGTCCCGGTGTAGAACATCATCTCCCAAACATCCATGGAACCCCCAGACTATTTTCATAGTGAACAAATTGACACAAGATACTTGGTTCAGTTTTCACATTTAATATTTTTGAGGGGGAGCATCACTACCAAGGTCCTCTCATAACCCCTATTCACGCCATGAGAAACAGCTGGGCTGCACGAGGTTCAGAGCTCAGAGGGGAGCCAAAGCTGCTCACACAATTAAACCAAGGGCAGATACAGGGGGGAAAAAAACAACTTTCTCCCAAGGGTCAAAGAGTATTTCCAAATTACTTACACTCATTGGACATTCTGTGGTACATACCCAGCGTTCTCTTTCTCAGCCTGGTTCATGGCTGAGGCCGAGGCCAATGGGAAGGAAACTCGGGGAAAGGGAGGAAGGAGGCCTGGGAGCCATGGAGGCACCAGGCTCGGCCACAGCTGTGCAGGCCCTGGCTCTAAGGCTGCCCCACCGCTCCCCTCCCACACCTACCCAATGAGAAGCGCCTTTCGAGGCCTTGGACTGCTGCCAGCAGGCAGGACACAGGCCAAAGGCCTCTGGATTCCTAACCAGAGGTGGGCACTTGGCACAGGACAGCCCTGGCATGAGACATCCTAGACTCCAATCACTAGGGCAGGGATCAGCCTAATCCTTTCCCTCTTCCAAAAGGAAGGGGAGCTGGGCTCCCCACTCTAAATCCCGGTGGTACTTGGGAGTTGAGGTAGAGGGCCATGGCCTGGGGACAGGAGGCAGGCTTTGTTCCAACCCCCACCCCCCATCACATCCCAAAGAGCACAGAAGCAGCCATGTTGCCCCCATGCCCACTCTGGGGCCTACTAAATAGTGACCATTAGCTAGGGCTTGACAGCCAGTGGATTCTGCCCTGGTGGTCCCCTAGCCCTTCCTGGCCAGGCTTACCACAGAAAGTTGGCCCTTCACCCTCCCCCATGGCCAGGCCAAGTGGAAACAACCTAGTAAGAGTGAGAAGGCAATGAGAAAAGGACTGATTACTCGGTACGACAGGGTTAGCTGGGGCTGGGGCGTGGGGCTGGGGGGTGGGGCCAGTCCCTACGTCTCCTCCTGCCCAAGGCCCTTCTCAGTCTCCAGGATGGGGCGAGCGGATCCTAGCTCCACACGTCCAGGGAATAGCGCCCCTTAGCCATCAGTTTCTTGATGAAGTCCACAGCCTGGGACTGGCCCATGCCCCCAAACTCAGACGCGATCTCGCAGAACACATTCTGCACGTCCCGAGCCATGTTCCGTGCATCTCTAGAGGAGGGGAGAAGGAAGGCGATCGCCGATCAGGCCCCGGCCCCGCCCCCTCCGGCCCTGGCTCCGCCCCGCCCCGCCCCCTCCATGCACCCACTCACCCGCATACGTAGATGTGCGCGCCGCACTCGTGGATCAGTCGCCACAGATGCTCCTTGTTCTGTTTCATCAGGTGCTGCACATAAACCTGGCCAAGAGGAGGGCGGGGTTGGGGGGCCGGCTCGGCCTCTGCCGTCTCCCTCCCTTCTGTCCCCTTCCTTCCTTCCTTCCTTCCTTCCTTCCCTCCCCCGAGGCCCCACCTTGTGGGACTGCTCCCGGGAGAAGGCCACATTAAGCTGGGAGAGGACACCATCCTTCTGGAACTGCGCCAGCTCTTCCCGGTACAAGTAATCCTCGTCGGCGCGGCGGCAGCCATAGTACAGTACGGTCTCGCCAACTTCCTTACCTGGGGGCACCAGAGCAGGGGCCTGACCACAGGGCCCAGGGCCCCGCCTGCCAGGATGCAAACTGCTGCAGAGGCCGGTGGCTTGGGGCTGGGGTGGGGGCTGACACCAGCCTAGCCCCCGGTGCCGGGGACGAGGGGGAGAAAGCCCATCTTACCCTGTTCTTTCAGCCAAGCCCGCTCTTGGATGAAGCCCACAAAGGGGGCAATGCCGGTGCCCGGCCCGATCATGATGACAGGCGTGGTGGGCTTGAAGGGCAGTCGGAATTGTGACTTTCGCACAAACATGGGCACCGTGGCCTTGTGCCCGTTCTCCAAGGCAGGCTCTTTGGCCCTGAGCCAGTTGGTGGCCACACCCTTGTTGACCCTGCCTGCCTTGGTCTTATATTCCACGACCACAGCACAGATGTGAATGGAGTTGGTGTGAACCTGGAGGGGTGGCAGGGAGAGAAGGGGGCTTTCTGGGGACCAGCAGAGACCTCAGCCTGCCTCCTAATGTGAGCCCCGACCACCCAACCCTAAGCTGCTTCCTGTCTGTCCAGCTCCCCAGCCCCTTGCTCCTAAGACCAGACACCAGCTCGGTCAAGCTTCCCCAGACCTCAGGGATCCTCTCCCTCCGCCCTTGCCAGGCTCTCCCAGAGGCTGCTCCAAACCTTCCCTTCCATCAGACCAACGACCCCTCCTGCTCCGCTGTCCCTTGGCTAGAAGAAAGTGAGGCCCTTCACCTTCTCTCCCTCCTATCTAAGCCCTTGACATCACCTCCCTCTCCTCTCCTTTTCCTCCAGTCTCTGAAAATGGGGAGGCAGAACAGAATTCATTGTCTCTCCCCTCCAACCCACCCCTGCTCCCATCTCCCTTAATTCTGGAGAGGGCACCACTCTTCCTAACCTCTGGCCGTTCTTGATACACACAGCTCCCACAGCTCCCCCTCACTCCCCAGGTCTAATCAAACATTTTTCCACCCATCCCTATCTCTGCCTCACACAGCCATTCCCCTGAGTTCAGAGCCTCCCCTCCGCCTCTTCTTGGACTTCCCTGCTTACAGGACATCCTCTTCTTAGACTCCAGGCTGACCACGTCCTCCCCACCCTCCACATTCCAGCAGCTCTCTGGGCCTGCTGTTTGGCCTTAAAAGCCTTCATCCCCTGGCCCAGCCTCAGCCCAGTCTTCTGGCTGTCCCCCACTCAAGCCATCCTTCCTCGCCTCCCCCTCACAGAAGCAGCCTCTTCCCTCCAGATGTAGCCAAGCATGGACTTCTCCATAAAGTCTTTCCCGACTGCCCCTCCCTGAGCACCCTCCTTCCCAAAGCGCCACCGGGTGAGACAGGTTGGAAAGCTGGCAGGCCTGGGAATTCTCTGTCACAACGAAATCACACGTGGTACGGCAAGGGCGGCTTCACTTGCACCTGCGTTCCCAGAGCCTGAGGACTGAAGGACTCTCCCATCTGGCCCTGGAAGGTCAGCAGTCCAAGGGCTCTCGCCACCTTACCCTTAAGAAGCCAGAGGCAAAGGGCAGGACAGCAGTCGGGCTTCACTCGCCTAGACGCTGAGGAGCGGCACGCCGGCTGACCTGGAGCCCAGCCCAAAGGGCTACCTCCAGGTCAGGTGTGGGTCCTGCTGCACTTCTCCCCTGCCCCAACCTCTCACTGCAGAGCCTCCGTCTCCCCCCCACTCTGCTGCCTGCCCTCCAGACACCTATCAGATGCCTGAGCTGGGGCACTGGGCCAGGCCACTTTGGAAAGGGGCAAGAGCCCCGGGGTGCAGGGTGACAAGGGCAGTGCCAAAGCTCCTGCCCCGACGTTTGCAGAGAGCTCACGTCACGTCGTTTAGGCCTCTTCGCAACTCCAGGTAGACGCTGGTACTGCTCTCCTTATTCCCATTCCAGAGATTAGGAACCTGAGGCTCAGAGGTGACTCCGGCACTCTGCTGAGCAATACAAAGGATCCACTGCTGATGACCTCAGTTTCCTGCAGACCCACCTTGGAGGACGAGGCAATGGAGTAGTAGCGAGCCTGCAGGCGGGGCAGCAGCTCACACAGGTGGTCGATGGGAGGCCGCAGCGAAGGGTAGTCCTGAAGAATAGCCAGGATGTTCCTCCTGGCTTCCACAACCCAGTTCAGGTATAGCTCCTATGGAGGGAAGCAAGAGAGAGGAGCTGGGAGTGAGGCTGCCGGCAGGACCGAGGCAGCAGGGGTCAGGCGGGGGCTCGGGGGAGGGCTCACCTTGCCCTCGCCCGACGAGGACGCCATCTTGCGCAGTTGCTCCTGTTCGGCCGGCTCTCCCGCGTACTGTGCCAGCTCATAGAGAACATTGGTCCGGGGGGGATTAGTGATGTCCAGGTAGTAGGTGAGCGCCGTGCGGTAAGTGGTGGGGCAGGGGAATGGGTGCTTCTTGTTGGACTCCTCTGCAAGGCATACAGACCAGTGACTGTGGGACACCCACCCCGGCCTGGGACGGGGCTCAGGCCACTAACAGAGGCCCTTAACGACCCTGGGCCATTTGCATTGGGGATAGATGGAGGCTGGTTTTAACCAGCATGTGTGCGCTCACAAACACTCATTCATTTACACACTTACACACACACACACCCCCATGGCCTAGTCACATACATACATGTGTACTCACACATATACACATACATATATACTATGTATATACTCACACATACATATTGCATATACATAGACATATATACACACTTACATGATATATTCACATATACACATACATGTGCTCATCCACATATATACTGTGTACACACACACACACACACACACACACAACTCCATCAGGATGATCTGGCCCCTGGCTAACAGCTCTACCACAAAGCCCCATCTGAAACACTGACGTTCCCAGCTTTCTCAGCCTCTGTGCTCCCCAGGCCACTCACTCCCACTCTCCCCCTCATCTCTCTCCTTACACAGTGGAGAACTCCTGGCGGGGGGGGAGATTGTTAGGGTCTGAGCAGCAGCCTCTACCTGCCTGGATCGGCTGGCTAGGTTGGCGGCCTCTGGGCCTAACACTTGAGCCAACAAGGAAAGGCTGCTTGGCAAAACAGAAGCGGAGCTGGGGACCTGAGGCAAGCCCCTTCCATCTCTGGGCCTTAGCTGGCTCTCTGATAAATTAGGGAGTCAGGCTCCCAAA